GTTCGAGTCTAACCTGGGCAACATGCAAGACTGGATGTCTACAAAAAAACTTTAAAAATTAGCAGGGTATGGTGGCACGCATCTGTAGTCGCAGCTATGCAGGTGGCTAAGGTGAGAGGATCACTTGGGTCCAAGAGTTTGGGGTTGCAGTGAGTTATGATTTTGCCACTGCATTCTAGCCTAGGTGATAGAGTGAGACTCTATCTCTAAAACTTTTTAAATAAAAAATCAAATTTTTTAAATTGAAAAACATAAACAAGTAGAAAAAAAGTGAAAACTCAAAAAAAGAAAAAAGAGAGAAAGACATACGATGTTCAAGAACTGGAGAAATCAATACTGTTAAAATGGTCATAATACCCAAAGCAATCTACAGATTCAACATAATCCCTATCAAAATAGCAATTATATCCTTCAAAGAAATCAGAAAAAAAAATTGTATGCAATCACAAAAAAATCCCAAATATCCAAAGAAATGCTGAGCAAAAAGAACAAAGCTGAGGCATCACACCACCAGATTTCAAAATATATTCCATAGGCGAGGTGTGGTGGCTCACACCTATAATCCCAGTATTTTGGGAGGCTGAGGTGGGCAGACCACTTGAAGTCAGGGATTCGAGACCAGCCTGGCCATCATGATGAAACTCCATCTCTACTAAAATACAAAAATTAGCTGGGCGTGGTGGCATGCACCTGTAAGCCCAGCTGCTGGTGAGGCTGAGACAGGAGAATTGCTTGCGCCTGGGAGGTGGAGTTTGCAGTGAGCTGAGATCATGTCACTGAAATCCAGCCTGGGTGATGAGCTAGACTCCGTCTAGCCCCCTCAAACACACACACACACACACACACACACACACCCCATATACTACAAATACAGTAATCGAAATAGCATAGCACCAGCATAAAAACACACAGACCAATAAAACAGAGAACCCAGAAATAAATTCATACATTTAGAGCTAACTGATTGTAGACAAAGCTGCCATGAATATTCACGGGGAGGGAACAGTTACTTCAACCATGGTGCTAGAAAAACTGGATATCCATATGCAGAAGAATGAAACTAGATCCCTATCTCTCATGATATACATAAATCAACTCTTGATGAACTAAAGACTTAAAATGGAAGACCGACAACTATAAAATTACTAGAAGAAAACATAGGGAAAACACCTCAGGACACTGGTCAGGGAAAAGATTTTATGAATAAAACCTCAAAAACATAGGCAACAAAAGGAAAAACAGACAATTGAGATTCTATCAAACTAAGCTTCTATATAGCAAAAGCAACAAACAACAGAGTAGAAGGACATTCTACAGGATGGGAGAAAATATCTGCAAATTATACATACAACGAAAGATTACTATCCAAAATACACAAGGAACTCCAATAACAGCTAAATAAAAATAATAATCCATTTTTAAACTAGGACAATTATCTGAATAAAGAGTTCTCAAAAGAAGACATACAAATGGTCAATAGGTACATGAAAAAATGGTCAACATCGGCTGGGGGCAGTGGCCCACACCTATAATCCCAGCACTTTGGGAGCCCAAAGCTGGTGGATCACCCGAGGTCAGGGGAGTTCGAAATTAACCTGGCTAACATGATGAAATGTCATCTCTACTAAAGATATAAAAATTAGCCAGGTGGGGTATTTGGGCACTTATAATCCCAGTTACTTGGGAGCCTGAGGCGAAAGAATCGCTTGAACTTGGGAGGCAGAGGTTGCAGTGAGGCGAGATCACACCACTGCACTCCAGCCTAGGTGACAGAATGTCTCAAAAAAAAAGAAAAAAAAAAAAAAGGGGTCAATATCACTAGTCAACAGGGAGATGCAAATCAGCAAATCACAACCACAATGAGATATCATCTCACTCCAGTTAGAATGGCTATTACCAAAAGGGCAAAAAGTAACAAATGCTGGCAAGAATGTGGAGAAAAGGAAACTCACTGGTGGGAATGTAAACAAGTACAGCCATTATGAAGAACAATATGAGGTTTCTCAAAAAACTGCAAATTGAACTATCATATGATCCAGCAATCTTACTACAATATGTATATATATATATATATATATATATATATATATATATATATATATATCTCCAAAAGAAAGGAAATAATTGTATTACAAAGATACCTGCTCCCTCATGTTTATAACAGCACTGTTCAGAATAGCCAAGATGTGGAATTAACCTCAGTAAACCATCTACAGATGAATGGATACAGAAAATCACACACACACACACACACACACACACATACACACACACACAGAGACAGACACACAAATACTATTTGGTCTCAAAAAAGAATGAATTCCTGTCATTGGTGGTAACACAGATGAGGCTAGAGGACGTTATGTTAAGTGAAATTAAGCCAAGAACAGAAAGATAAATACTGCATGTTCTCACATGAAGAAGTTAAAAAACATGACCTCAAAGTAGAAGAGAGTAGAAAAGTGGTTACCAGAGACTGGAAAAGGTAGGGAAAAAGTGGGGAGAAAGAGAGAGATTGGTTAAAAGATATAAAATTATAGGTACATTGGAGGAATAAGTTCCAGTGTTCTATATAGCACTGTAGGATGATAACAGAAATATATAGTTTCAAACAGTTAGAAGAAGGCTGCTGTATGTTCCTGATACAGAGAAATAATAAATGTTTGGGATGATAGATATATCAATTATCCTGATTTGATCACTATACACTGTATGTACAGAGATATCACTATGTACTCCAAAAAGTCTACAAAAATTATGTGTCAATTTAAAAAAATTTAGAGAAATTAGTCAACTTTGGTGATTAAATATTTATTCATTGTGATCTCAGATTGAATCTTCATGAACTAAAGCAAGGCAAGAAGTACATATATTTCAAGAAATGTTGGAAACATGACCAGATCCCTCATGGAAACAAGAAGGTAAATACATAGTAATGGCATTCTGACGTTCCTTGGGATAATTTTAATTTCCTTTCTTAATGTTCTTAAATATTTTTAATTATCCTGTCATCTCAGCACTTTGGGAGCTCAGAAATTTGAGACCAGCTTGGACAACACATAGCGAGACTTCACCTCTACTAAAAACTAAACAACAACAAAAACTCTTAAATATATATATATTATTATTAGCTTATTAATTTTAATTAAAATGGGATATTATATATTATCTCATTATATGGTTTTTGATTTTTTTTTTTTTTTTTTTTTTTTGAGACGGAGTTTCGCTGTTGTTACCCAGGCTGGCGTGCAATAGCACGATCTCAGCTCACCGCAACCTCCACCTTCTGGGTTCAGGCAATTCTCTGGCCTCACCTTCCCAAGCAGCTGCAAATTACAGGCACACGCCACCATGTCCAACTAATTTTTTTTTTTTTTTTTTTTTTTTGAGACGGAGTTTCGCTCTTGTTACCCAGGCTGGAGTGCAATGGCGCCATCTCGGCTCACCGCAACCTCCGCCTCCTGGGTTCAGGCAATTCTCCTGCCTCAGCCTCCTGCATAGCTGGGATTACAGGCATGCGCCACCATGCCCAGCTAATTTTTTGTATTTTTAGTAGAGACGGGGTTTCGCCTCATTGACCAGGATGGTCTCTATCTCTTGACCTCGTGATCCACCACGCCTGGCCTTGTTTTTGTTTTGAGATGGAGTTTCGCTCTTGTTACCCAGGCTGGAGTACAATGGCACGGCTCACCGCAACCCCCGCCTCCTGGGTTCAGGCAATTCTGCTGCCCCAGCCTCCTGAGTAGCTGGGATTACAGGCATGCACCACCATGCCCAGCTAACTTTTTGTATTTTTAGTAGAGACGGGGTTTCACCATGTTGACCAGGATGGTGTCCATCACGTAACCTCGTGATCCACCCACCTCGGCCTCCCAAAGTGCTGGGATTACAGGCTTGAGCCACCGTGCCCGGCCCATTATATGTTTTATATTTATTATTACATATGTAATATATACATATGTAGTAATATATATAATAATATAGAATGGGATAATAGATAATATATATATTTTATTAGCTTATTAAATTTAATTGAAATATATTATATATCATATATTATTTGTATATCATATATTTTATATAATTATATATTATAATTATGTTATATAATTATATATTATATATAATATATATTAATTATATATCATATATGTTTTTATATGTTATATATATATTATCCCATTTCAATTAAAATTAATAAGCTAATAAAAATATATCCTATTTCGTCATTACAACATGGGTTGGGATCTCTAATTAGATTAGTCTGATTCTAGAAAAGTTATATATATTTTAAGATTTGTACTTCTACATTTCCTCATATTAGAAATAGTTTTATTTGTTTTCAGCCATAAACCAAAAGATATCACAAACTGTCTCCATTGTAGGTATATTGGTCAAGCATACCCTATCTTCTACATTTCATAAATCTTAACAAACAGATTAATGACTTATAATCTTATTTGAATATCATGTATATAGTTTCAAACCACCTCACTTAAAAACTCATTGCAAGCTTACTCTGGTAGTAGGTATCAGCTTCAATTTTAAAAAATAAACCTTTGCTAAAAAATAAATAAATAAATAGACCTTTGCTTAAAAGGTCATTTTCCACAATAATCAGAACAGAAAGAAACACTCTCAATCCATGGCATTAAAAATAAGTTAACTAAAGAAATAATACAAGATGATACATCACTTCAAGTAAAATACGTGTTTCTAGATTCTGTAACAGTAAAGGAAAACCACAGCTATAAACAAATGAAAATTATATTCTATGGCTAATCTGAATAAAATCACCTATTTTGAATGAGGGCAAAAATGCAGAAGTTTCAACTGTCACTTACAGGTTCCTTTTTCTTTCTTCTGCCCCAAATTATTGATATAGCATAATTAAAGGTTTTAAATGTAAAGGTGTAAATATTATAAAGCAACTTTTACAAAGAGTCATTATTTCATCAAACTATTTAAAGACTTCCTTAAATTTAAGTATATAGTCTTACCTCTTGATTAAATTTATGAGCCATCTCATTAAGTAGTGAAGAAAAAAAACTAGTGTTTTGTAGTAGAACTCGACCCATAACTCCAAGATACGTGGACATCACTACAGGATACCTCTGTACAATCAAAATACAGCACATGCAAAATTGTGTTATGGTAGAAGTATGAACAATCATTGACATACTAATAAGCAACAGGGATATAAAATAACATTCTCCTTACTTCTCTTTAGAATAAACTGTCAATATTGCCTGAGTTCTAACTTACTAAATACATATATGAATTATATGTACTATATATATGTATATAATAAAGAGAAAGAAACAATATTTATCAATTTCATATTATTATATTACTTTATCTTTTTTTTTTGAGACTGAGTTCACTCTGTTGCCCAGGCTGGAGTGCAGTGTCAAGATCTCTGCTCACTGCAACCTCCACTTCCCAGTACTATATTACTTTAAATATTTGTAACATACACAGGTTCATGGATCTATTAAAGAGAGCCGTTCTTAGAAAATAACCAGTGGTTTCACGTATTCAGTCTACAACAATATTAGCACTATTTTGTCCCCCTCATACTCTCAATAGTCAAGCATTGGCATTAAGCCACTTACCATTCCTGTACTTCAAATGATTTTTTTGTGTGAACATACATGCATGTTTGAAAGAGACATGTCAAAGAAAATATGCTATGTGGAGCGGGAAAAGGCAAAAGTGTCTAACTGCCCTAAAAATTTAACTTAATTTAACATGATCCAAAAGACAAGGAAAGCTTTCCTTCTGCAAGTAACAATGAAGTAGAAATGACTACAAGTAGGAGAGTAATTGAAACTAGAATCCTAGAGTCTAATGCTACCCTTGGAACTTTAAGAAAAATCTTACCTCCCCTTCTATAATACCCTTGAAAACGTAGGGAAAAATCGGTTGAAACATTTGCGGACCTAATATTGGGTTCACTTTAAGGGCATTTTCCACAACCTAAAAACCAGAAAGAAACATTGGTGATGCTCAATAGTTAAAGTCATTGCTTTATGAAAAACACATGTAGGGAAACAATGTACTAAAATAAATATCACAGACCAAATTTAAGAAGACATACAAGTATGCAAGGTATGCAATATTCTGACACTAGACACACTTTAACAAGATAATCCATTTTAAAAGTGCTGTTGGATACAAAGGATAATATTTACACACAGCTCTACACCTTGCATACAATTTTACTTAATCACATTGTCATAACATAGGTATCATGTGCAGTTAATGTAATTCTTACCCTTGCAATTTAAACCAATAACCCTTAAAAATGATGCACTAATAGAGGCAGCAAAAGGCATTTTTACAACACTGGCTTTTTGATAGCTAAACAGGAAGTTAGCAACACCTATACTCACTGCCCAGAAATAAATCTACATTTATGGTAATCAACAAATTGGAGGAAAAGGGCATGTTGCATATACACTGAATATTTATTAAATTAGAAATCATATTGCATTCATAATTATACTGATCAGTCATGAGTACCAATTGTTACATGTGAAAACAACATAGAAATTGTTTTGATATGAGTGAGGTATTTCTTCTACACCAAAAATGGGTAAGCATGAAATTCAAAGCAGAGTGGAGTTTTTTGTTTATTTTTGTTTTACCTTTTAGGAAGAGATGAATGCAGCAGTCAGGAAGCAGCAATAAGGACCAAGAAGGACATTTACCCCACACTCACGTCCAGCCCAAAGGCTTAAGAGGTGGGAAAGGAAACAGATACCATCTGAGAGGGTTGTGGGCAAGGAATGGCTGCAGGGTGGAGCCACGTTTCCCTTAAGAATTCTATCAGTGCTTCTCAAGATTGACTACAGACATTTTTCATGAAGACAACTATTTACTCGGCAGTCTTCCCATGCACCGAGGGAAATTTAGCATCTTCCAGTGTCTGCTCACTGGGTGCCAAAAGTACTCCAAAAATTATGAACATCAAGAATACTTCCATGCATTTTGAAACAGCCCCAAGGTAAGCAAGTAGCATCCATGGTTGATAATAACATTTGTTGTTGCTCTAATTTTGAGCAAGAAGGGAAGGTAATGTTTAAATAAAAGATTAAAAATATAAAAACTTTACTGTGGGACAAGCACTATGCTACTACTAAGAGATACAGATTTAAAAGATATCAATTCCTGGGCCGGGTGCGGTGGCTCAAGCCTGTAATCCCAGCACTTTGGGAGGCCAAGGCGGGTGGATCACGAGGTCAAAAGATCGAGACCATCCTGGTCAACATGGTGAAACCCCGTCTCTACTAAAAATACAAAAAATTAGCTGGGCATGGTGGCGCGTGCCTGTAATCCCAGCTACTCAGGAGGCTGAGGCAGGAGAATTGCCTGAACCCAGGAGGCGGAGGTTGCGGTGAGCCGAGATCGTGCCATTGCACTCCAGCCTGGGTAACAACAGCAAAACTCCGTCTCAAAAAAAAGATATCAATTTCTGATTAAAAGCAAGAGGAGATAAAATCTGTAACAATAAAAATTTGATCTCAATAAAGTTTATTTAATTTTGAAGAAAAAAAAGCTAGATCTCAGAAAAAAAGATAAATATGGAGGATATATAGATAACCTAGTAAACTGAGAGAGGAGAGGCAGATATCACCAGACAGTATTTACCTGTGAATAGAAAGTAAGGCCACCTGCTAATTATTAAATACATGTATAATTTCACTCCCACCTAAAACCCCACAAAAATCACAGGAAAAAAATTTTAAGAGGGAGAGAATAATTTTAAAAAGACAAGAGGAATGAGAAACAAACAGTGAAAGCAAGAAAGAAGAAATTCAAGAGGAAACTGACTCATTAAGCCAGAAAAAGCTGAATCCCAAGGTATCAAAGCAACCAGATACCTTTTGCTTCATATAACTTCTCCCTCTTTCTCCACCCCAAAAAACACAGAAAGTATCAGAACCTTATTACCTTGGGGAAGCTAAAAATAAGAAGAATAAAAAAATAAAACAAACAAAAAAATAAGACTGGTTGAAAGTATGTCTAAGAAACAGAGTGCTAGATATATTCAACTCTGCATGATCTGGGCAGCTGACGCCCAATCCATGAGAACAAAGAGGGTATATTTTCTGTAAAGAATCTAAAAGAGATTGCTTCCAGACTAAAAGAGCCCATTCTCAATGTAATGCATTTAAATAAACCTACATTACGGCACTAGGAACAAGAAGGAGCAGCTACAAACTTGGAAAAGAAGGAGGCCCAAGGTGGGAGTCAGCATTGGCTCTGAAGAGACTTCCTCAAGAAAATTAAAGTAATGGAATCCTTGATGTATCTGAACATACTGAGTATCTGTCAAGACGGTTTAGTGAACATAAAAAAACCATACCAAAAAAAAGTATTACTTCCAGAGACTACGAAAGATTATACAGAAAAGTATTACTTCCAGGGAATACAAGACTGTAGAGAAAGGAGAAGTAATCACAGCTTACTACACGTCTCAGCTTCGAATAGGAAATATAAGAATCATGGCGTAAACACTGAATTTTGATTACCCGGAGGATAAAGGCACAGAGGAAGTGCAAAGGCGATATCAATACATACTGCCTACAATGAACAACTCGTGAAGGAATAACATAGGGGTATTATTTACAGATATGAACATAGATACAAAAGAATTGGCTACAAGCACTAAAAGTGGTTGTCTCTAAGCAAGGAAAAATGTCTGGCAGAAAGACAGCTGATTATAATTTTTTTCTAAGAAACCATAAATATCTAGTTGACTCTATGTCATATAAAATTCTGATTAAAAGTTTTTAAAAATCATAGGGTTTGAAGAGAATTTATAGTAATAATACATAGCTGTGGGTGGCCCCAATCCACAGGAATCTTTATAGTTTTCCTTGGTGACAGGGAGGTGGGAGTTGTGGCAAGAGTATTTAGAATTAATGTAAAGATTAAATAATGCAAACATAAAAGTTGTATCTGATTGAGTAAATAAGTATCTCAACATAGTCACATACACATGTATTTCAGGGCTAAAATAGAGTCTTTGAAGTCTAAAAGTTCAGGAACCATAACTAGAGAAGATGAGAGTTTTGGAAAGAAAAATATCATTACCAGACTTGGGAGCAGAGAGTATGGGGCAGAATAAAGAGAAATTCATAACTGTAACTAATAACATATAGAAGAGCTGAACAGTGGACCAAAGGTGAAAAAGTCTTTCACTGCTTCTACATTTTCCTGTTTGGGCAAATCGGTACAACTGTAGTGTCAATAGTAATAATGACGTTCCATTCTGACATGCTGAATTTGAGGTGCCTATGGGAATATGAAATGGTCTATATAATTTCTCTTACATTGAAAAATCCCAGGTCCTATAACCTTGTTTCTTTCTACTATATATAGATACATATATGAGTTTCAAAATAACAATGCCAATATTACTGATGACAATACTACTGAATGTAATTATAAACTTCTTTTTGTTCTAACGTTACATCCCATTAGGGATATACATGTGAAATACTGCGTATTAAAATGACTTGAAATATTCTTCTCCAATAGCTATGCCACCAACATAATAACAGTTAGATTCAAATGCTAAAGTCTATTCTTTGTTCTACATCATTTGCTCCAAAAGCAGGCATACTGGTCTCTCTATCCAATTTTCATAACATTGTAATTTTCTACTTCAAAGAACAAAGAATTTACTTGAAGATAATGTCAGAAATTAGTGTAACAGTGACATTTAGTAAAAAATATATTTAAAATGTTATATAGCATGCTATATTAAGAAAAAGTATCTGATATTAAAAATGGAAGTGGACTAATATTAAAAACTATTGTTATTGCTATACTAAAGATCAGGACAATTGTCAAAAATTTTAAGAGTTTGCCCAGCCTTAAAATATAGCAGTAAAATGAAAGCACTATTGCCCTAAAATATTCCTGAACATAAAAATACAAATAATTTATTAATAATGAGCATATTTTTACTATTTAACATCCATTTATTAAATTATAAAATCTAGTTTCTGAGATTTTAAATCAAATATACAGACTGAGTTATACCAATATTTACACAAAAATACCAACTTAAACACATATTATCAGGTTCTCAATTTTTCTTTCTTTCTTTTTTCTCTCTCTCTCCCTCTTTTTTTTTTTTTTTTTTTTTTAATAGAGATGTGGTCTTGCCATATTGTGCAGAAGGCTGAAATCGAACCTCTCAGCTCAAGCGATCTTATAGCCTCAGCCTCTGAAGTAGCTAAGATTAAAGGCACACACCACCATGCCTGGCTCCAAATTTCTTTCTTTTCTTTTTTTCTTTTGTTGTTTGTTGGGAAGGAGTTTCACTCTTGTCGCCCAGGATGGAGTGCAATGGCATGATCTTGGCTCACTGCAACTTCCACCTCTCGGGTTCAAGCAACTCTCCTGCCTTAGCATCCCAAGCAACTGGGATTACAGGCATGGGCCACCAAGCCCAGACAATTTTTTTTTTTTCAGTAGAGATGGGGTTTCTCCATGTTGGTCAAGCTGGTCTCAAACTTCCAACCTCAGGTGATCCGCCTGCCTCAGCCTCTCAAAATGCTGGGACTACGGGCATAAGCTACCACACTCATCCCTATATTTCTTCATTCAAATATTTGTATCCTAATAACAACCTACTGTTGGCATACTTACAGATAAATTGCTTTCATTTGTAACCTGTATTAAATGTTACAAAAATAATTTGACTATATATTTGACTATAGATTTTTGGTATGCAGTAAGTTAATTCGGAATTTTCTATAATAAAAAAATTTTAATTGTGTTATTATGAGCAGAAAAAAAATACAATTAATTTTCTTTCTATCTTTTTTATGAGACAGTGTTTCACCATGTTTGCCAGGCTGGTCTCGAACTCCTGACCTCAGGTGATCCACCCACCTTGACCTCCCAAAGTGCTGGGATTACACGCGTGAGCCACTGCACCTGGCCAATTTTCTTCTTCTTTTTTTGAAACAGGGTCTCCCTCTATTGTCCAAGCTGGATGGAGTACAGTAGCACAATCTAAGCTCACTGCAGCCTCCACCCCTCTCCACTCCCACCTCAGCCTCCTGAGTAGCTAGGATTACAGGCACACACCACCACAACCGGATAATTTTGTATTTTTTTGTAAAGATGGGGCCTCACCATGTCACTCAGGCTGGTCTCGAACTCCTGAGATCAAGTGATTCGCCTGCCTCAGCCTCCCAAAGTGTTGGGATTATAGGCGTGAGCCACCACGCCTGGTCAAAATATAATTATTAATAATTTTAAAGAGCGAGCTGAGATATGCAGTTCTTGCAAACAATATACCATTATGTAAACCACCTGCTTAGTTTTAAAAAGTAAATTTTATTAATGTACTTAAGTATTTATTTTGAAGAAATGGTAAAAGGATAAAGTAGAACCACTTGGTTTCTCTAGAGCTGAAGATCTTAGCAAACAAATTATTATTATTATTTTTTTTTTGAGACGGAGTTTTGCTCTTGTTACCCAGGCTGGAGTGCAATGGCACCATCTCAGCTCACCACAACCTCCGCCTCCTGTGTTCAGGCAATTCTCCTGCCTCAGCCTCCCGAGTAGCTGGGATTACAGGCATGCGCCACCATGCCCAGCTAATTTTTTGTATTTTTAGTAGAGACGGGGTTTCACCATGTTGACCAGGATGGTCTCGATCTCTTGACCTCGTGATCCACCTGCCTCGGCCTCCCAAAGTACTGGGATTACAGGCGTAAGCCACTGCGCCCAGCCTGCAAACAAATTATTTTGCCTATAATTGGAGTAGCCTATTTCCCCACAAAGAGAGACTAAATAATTAATCTCTCAAAAGACAGCTATATAATTATATTAGATAAAAACAGTCAATGCTTATATTCACTTATTACATGTTAGGCATTGTTATAACTATTTACATATAAGCTCAAGTATTCCTCACATCAAACTTATGAAGTAGGTAAAGTTATCATCCCCATGTTATAGATGGAAAATGAGGAACAAAGAGTAATTTGTCCACATCACATAACTGTGAAGTAGCAGAGCCAATGTTCTAACCCTGGGGGTCTCCCTTCAGTGTGTAGTCTTATCTGCTATGCTATGCTTTCTCTAATAATTTTGTAAGGGTATAATTAAAAACAAGTAGAATCACAACGGCCATTCCAGATAATCCACAAGTTGTCTTTCAACAGCAAATTTAATAATATTGTTGCAGAAAAGCCAAAAGAGTGCATGGGGGTGAAGGCAATTCAAATTTGGACTGGAAGGTGTTTAAATGTGAGAAATCACCTCTTTTCGTAATCACTTAGAATATATAGATTATAACTTAACATGGAGAATTTCAGGTACTGTATATGTACAGAATAAAAATCATTTAATAAATGAGGAAAATGAAGGCCAGAGTATACTCAAGAGCCATAAAAGTAGCAGGGCAGCATATGCAAATCAAGGGGATGGTCAAGGAGAGAATTCCAAATGGATCCTCAGTATATGTGAGATGGCATTTCTATTGGAGGCACAGCTTCAACAAAAAAATTATGGATTCCTTGCCTTTCAAGTCACTTACTACATATGTATTCAGAGCTAACAGAGCACACATTTACTGAACTGTGGATAATGGAGAAGGTCAGTCTAATAGAGGAGAAAGGTTAAAACAGGCATACATACAAAAAAAAAATCTGTGGAGACAACAGTATCAAAATGACATGGCAATTTTCACTTGTTTTAATCACTCCCAGGATGCCAATCACTTTTTCCTCAAATAGTCAGATTAAGCTCAATGTGTCAATTCCTTATTTCCTCTTACCTCCAGAGAAGAATTTATCACCAAAGCAAAAGCTGAAGCTGAGATTGTGTAAGACTGATGAAGTTCCTTAATATACTTACATTGCCACTCTGTCAGTTTAGTAAAGGATAAATGCAGGTATGCCTATAAAAGGCATAAAAGCATTTTAGTAAGCAACATGTTTGATGTTATTTGTAAGCTTTGGGGCTAGGAGAACACTTTGAAATTAATAATGAATGAGGATTAAAAGACTAGTGCAACAGACCAGGCCTCTAGTATCCAGGGTCTCAACAAGCCACATGCACAGATTCCTGTTATTACAAATCCTTGAGTGCCCACATGATTCTTTGGTAACAGTGGCTTATAGTTTCACCATTTAGTAAACCCCTTACTCTAAAAAAGAAACAAAGAAACTACAAAATTAAAGCCAAAGAGTTCTGCCATGGCCTAGATGTAATCAAGGTAAGATGAAGATATTAGAGAATGCCCTTAATCAATTATGGCTTTTGTCCTTGCAACAACAAAAACAAAATAGAGACACAGACACATACCAGGAGAACATCATGTGACAGCGGAAGCACAGATGGTAGGATTACGTATCTACGAGTCAAGGAATTCAAAAGACTGCCTGCAATCACCAGAAGGTAAGAGAAAGGCTTGGAACAGATTCTCCCCCTAGACCCTTCAGAAATAGCATGGCCCTGCAAACACTGATTATTTAATTATATAACAAATATCAGTATTATAAATAACCTTTTGTTTTAAGCCACCAAGTTTGTAGTATTTTGTTACAGCATCCCTGGGAAACCAATACAGTCCTTACTGATCTCCTTAAGCTCCTTCGTTTTCTCATCAATCTATAATTTAATACTTCAGTAATCTGGCATATGTCCCTTCTAATTTACAGACACTAAATATGTTTTAAATTTTGGTTTTAAACCCTCTTGTTCAATAGACAATCCTAAGAGCATTTTCTCTCTCCTTATTCTTGTTCACTTCTCTGCAGTACTTAACACTATATTAGCCTGATTCATGCTGAGTTGTGACAGCAAATAAATACACAGTCATGTGCCACTTATCAACAGGAATATGCTCTGAGAAATGTGTCATTAGGCAATTTCACTGTTCTGCAAACATCATAGAGTGTACTTACACAAATCTAGATGGTATCTTATTGGTTATAGTAAAAGGCTACAGTAACAAAATAAAGTAGAACAAAGAATCCATTTTCATACTGCTATAAAGAGCTGCCTGAGACTGGGTAATTTATAAAGAAAAGAGTTTTAATTAAGTCACAGTTCAGCATAGCTGGGAAGGCCTCAGGAAACTGACAATCAAGGTAGAAGGTGAAAAAGAGGCAAGGCACCTTCTTCACAGGAAGAAGCAGTGCCAACCAAAGCGGGAGGAGGCCCTCATGAAACCATAAGATCTCTTGAGAACTCACTATCATAAGAACAGCATGGGGAAAACCACCCCCATGATTCCCTTGATTTGGGAGAGTCATCCCCACAATCCCCTTGATCATGGGGTGATCTGGGTGGACCCAAAGCCTAACCATATCAGTTACTAGGAAATAAGGCTTCATTATCTGCACAAACTTTTACCAACTTAGATCCTAGAGTATACACTGGATTACTTCAGTACACTTCTTACAGCAAACCTGTTTGGGTAACCTCTTTCATTTCACTGGGAGGAAGTGAGATCATTTTTAGGTTCTAAAGCAATGCCATGATTTTCACACCATAATGCTATTTTGTTATGATAGAAATTCAGCTCTAGTGTCTTGGAACATAGCTGACAAACTCAACACCAAAAATAGAAGTACTTTTAACAGCTACACCTTCTCTCAAAATCCATACATAAAGACATTTTATTTATATATATTTTTATTTATATGTAAATATACACTTAATACTATTTATGTCTTTAATATACAGACATAATATATAAAGATAATATACAACTTAGAGCCTGTTGGTTCTTAATTATACAATCTCAACAAACATGGTACTCAAATTTTGATAGCCAAATCAAATTAAAACTACCAAATTATAAAGTGAAAAGTCTGTCCCATAAGCAGGCTAACAAAATGAAAGAGTGAGAAGTATCAGACACCACACCACTGGATAATTTACAAGAGTTAAAATCCTTACTACACAAAGTAAGGTCTCAAGATAGGCAACATCCCAATCAGTTCAGACCTTGTGAGAAATCCAGAACTGAATTTTAATAAGATGTCCAGGTGATCTGTTGCTTGTTGAAGGTGTATGCACCTTCAGATTTGAGACCTCTGGTTCACAGTTATTAAAGCAACTGGAAACTGCTAAAATAGCCTGTCTGGAACTATATCAACTCTTCTCCTTCTTGTGAACCATCCATACCCAAATGAAAGTCCAACTTCATAAAATATAAATGAAAACTCACATATTCACTTAAAATGATTACAATACCTTGAGCACTTGAACTTGACCTTCTGTGGTAATCTCCTTTAAAAGTTCACAAAAGGACTGGCATAGACCTACTGCATATGTCTGAAATTCAATTAAATGTCAATACACACATAAGAACATATCTGTAATATCAAAATGGTATAAAATTTCATTTGGGACTCATTATAATCTATTTGAGAAGAATACACTAAAGGTCTAAGCATATAAAATTTCAATTAGAACTCTTAGAAAAAGTTAAAAGAAAAACGATTATGCTGAATAAAAATATAGATTATTGATACATTAATTTTTAGAGGAATATAAAAATGTGTTTGCTGACATAGCACATTTTCTGCATTAAATAAGAAAGGAACGGCAAGCAGCACATCTACCCTGCAGTGGAAAATGCTCAGCCAATGTTTCTTTGCCTTAAAGTAATAGACCAACCTTAAAATTCTGAAGAGGCACTCCCTGATTTCAAGTAAGAAATAATCAAAATAGTAATTATATAATTTCATAAAATGTAAATCTACTACAACATACCTGTAAAAATTCTGTTGATGATAAAAAGATATAACCATTGATGATCTTAAAGCAAGTTCTGAGATTTTCTGAACTTAGTTCTGCCAAAACAATAAATGTCAAACAAAAAAAAAATAACAAATTAATTCACTGCTGAAAATTAGTTTAAATGAAGTGATTCATTGTTATTTAAAACAAATTTACATACTCTACAAACGTCAGCACTATTAAGACTACTAGTATCTATAGATATCTATCTAAAAACTAGCATCACTAGGATTTAAAGGTTACGGTCAGCAATGATCATGCCACTGCACTCCAGTCTGGGCAAAAGAGTGAGACCCTGTCTCAGTGAATTAATGAGTGAGTGAGTGAATGAATGAATGAACGAACAAATAATGTTATCAACCCAAAACTTAATGTTACCTCATTTGCTTTTCACTAGTTGAAACATTCAGAAAAAAAAGCCATGCTCCCCATATTTTTTCCTTTCAGAAAAAAAGTACCTAATTATTCGACCCAACCTTTCATTTCAAATGAATTTTTACTGCTAGCATGACAAACTACATGAAGCTGAATCATTTTACCATTATATTTTGACATTCGCTTAAATGGGTTCCCTTGGTGAACATTTAATGAGTGTTACTACACTTGCACTAAATATGCGATATGACTTCTCAACAGACTCCTAGTAACACTCCAAAAAATTATATTAGGTTTAAATAGTTTCAATCTTTCCACTTTGTTCTCCAAATCTGGTCCCCTATAAAATATCACACATATAAAATGTTCTTAACATTTAATTACCAGAATAACATCAGAAAAGGATATCATTTTTAGCTATTCCTTTGCAAGTGTAGAGTAGAAACTATTTGTTAAAACTGAATATGATCAAAAGTTGATGCAGTACTATTTTATATGTCTCACTAAATAAAATAATAATATAAAAGGATACAGGCTCCATGTATAAAATTACACAGATTAAAATATGACTCCCAATACAATGTCGACGCCTAAAACCTGCCATTCTTTGTAACAAGTATTTTGGAAATTATATTCACTCACAATAGGACAGATTGTTTTTTTCTTAATTTCTGGCAAAAGATTAGCCCCTGTGTTCTTATCTGTCATTTCTAAATAAAAGAAAGAAGACATTATATTCATATGTGAATTTTCCATTTATTTTCACAAAAGAATGACAATCCAACCTATCTCAAAATGTCTTTGAAGGCATTAGTTCCTAAACTTTAGGATTTGACAGTTTTAAAAAATTAAGATGGGAAGAGGACAGGAAATCATAACTTATTACTAGTTACTAATCTAAAAAACATTTTAAAAAGCTGTCATCTTAAGTATCTTTTGACGACAAAAGATAAAATCTCAGGATAAAGGGGGCTTTTGTATTAGATTAAAGCTATCATTATGAAAATTCACATTATCTTTTCCTCCTCAAGGAGAAAACCTGGACTTGTGCGCACTTTTTTGTAGATCAACAATGAACAGCAGACTGTTTGGTGACTGCCACGAAAAGTAAGGCAAAGGGTCTATATTTAAGAGAAAACTGAGAATGGCTGCATTCCAGGCATATCAGAGAATATAATTTTGAAATAACTGCCAAGTATAATTTTATCAAAATCAATGTTAAGGAAAAAAAAAAACAACACTTAAGAAAAACTGATATAAAAAGAAAAGAGCCCATCTCTTCCTACAGATATTTAGAAACTATTCCTGGACCATTCTATACAAATTTGGTCACTTCCCATTGCTTTCCATGCCTCTAACATGCCCAGGATGGCACTGACAAAATTTTCTTGGGCATATTATCATCAGCAAACACTAAATATTGATATTACACATAGCCCTGAATTTAACAAATTTATCTATTTAACAGTACTGAACAGTATTCACTACATCCATAAGTTCCATGTGAGACTCTAAAGAAAAATGACTGTCTAGGCCTAATACCAAGAAGTTACTAGGCCTCGACAGTCATTTTTCATTATCTGAAATTACTCAGTATCTGAAAATAAATACATATCTATTGCATATTGCAAGATGTCAATCATGCAATAGATATGTATTTATTTTCAGATACTGAGTAATTTATATCTAAGGTTCTCAGTCAGGGGCAATTTTGTCTGCTGCAGGACATTTGGTAATGTCTAGAAACATTTTTGTCATTGCTAACATCCAGTAGGTAGAAGGTGGCGATACTATTAAACATCCTTCAATGCACAGGGAAGTCCCCCATAACAAAGAATTACCTTGACCCAAATATCAACAGAGCCAAAACTGAAAATCCCTGATTTAAGTGACTAGGTTTTTCTTTTCATAGACTGCTACAGAGCTCTAAGGTAAACCTGCATATAACCCATCAATGTATTTAGTTACGTACTGTGCATATATGATTCATATCTTTAGTGTGATTTTATCTTATCATCTACTCCTATTTGCTTTTATTTATACTTTTGCTCCTATTTTTAATTTTTATTTTACATGTTATATATTCCTTTAAATTTCTGTGAGGACAGGAAGTGAATTATTAAATTATGTTATAAAGAATCGAGAGAAATCTACTTCATCCTTTCTAAACTTGTTAGAAAATTACCAGCTGAAAGTTTTACAGTTAAAGGAACATTAGTTCCATTCACAGTAACTAGGACAAGAGCCAGTCACATGCTGATCTTTTAAGTAAGGAGAATATTAAGTAAATTAACACCATAACATAAATTTAAAGAAAAAAAGCTATTAGAACTAAATTAATAGAATTACTTCCAGTTATAGCCTCTGGTTCTACTTAAAATTTCTCAGATTCTATTTACATTTAGGGAAAAGGATATAAAATGAATCTTAGCCTTGAATATATTTATACCTAATTAATGCATCCTAAAAACTATTAACTTAAAAATCTTAAAGTGTTCTATAATGTTGGCTTTATATATTTTAAAGTAGGAAACTTCCTGCCAGTGACTTTCTTTCTTTTATTTTTATTTTTTAAAGAGAAAGGTTCTCACTCTGTTGCTCAAGCTTAAATGTAACAGTACAAAACAGCTCAGTGCAGTCACTACAGCCTTGATCCTCTTCCTTCAGCCTCCTGAGCAGCTAGTACCACAAGCACGGCCCACCAAGGCCAGCTATCTTTTATTTCTTGTAGACATGGGGTCTTGCTATGTTGCCCAGGTTGGTCCCGAACTCCCACCCTCAAGAAATCTACCTGATTACAGGCATGAGCCACTGCAACTAGCCCAGTGGCTTAATTTTTGCTTAGATAAATATAATAGCAATCACATTCATTAAACAGATAGTTTAAAAGCATTGTTCTAATAAGAGAATTTAACTGATACAAAAACAATGTTCATTTTAGTTTATACTCTTAAAAGATTAAAATAAATATTCTGGTTGTATTTAAAAATAAATTTTAAAACTTGTCTGAAAGAATGTACATGCAAAAAGCTGTATGTCAAACAATTATTAGTGCTATACTCAAACAAAAATAAAGGTAATACTGATGTCAAGATGTACTAATAAACATAAATGTAATTTGTAAATCGAATTTCATTACTGATGTAAATATACATACCGCAATGCAGAAAACAAATTATGTTCACCATTTTTTGAATGATAAAAGTAGAAAACAAATAATTCAATAGCATTCGCATCACCTATATTCATCAAAACTTTATAAAGTAGAATTTTTTTAGTCTTTCTTTTTTTTTTTTTTTTTTTGAGATGGAATCTCACTTTGTTGGCCAGGCTGGAGTGCAGTGGCACAATCTTGGCTCACTGCAACCTCCGCTTCCCAGGTTCAAGTGATTCTTCTGCCTCAGCTTCCCGAGTAGCTGGGACTAGAGGTGTGCACCACCACACCTGGCTAACTTTTGCATCTTTAGTAGAGATGGGATTTTGCCATATTGGCCAGGCTGGTTCTGAACTCCTGATATGCCCTCATTAGCCCCCCTAAGTGCTGGAATTATAGATGTGAGCCACTATGCCCAGCCAGAATTTTTTAAAAATTAAAAAAGTTTGAATTAAATATATGTTATATAAAAAAATTGCAATTTCATTAGTTCTTCATTCAGTAAGTAAATCCGGAAGAGCCAATCAATGGTAGGATTATTTTAAAATAGGAGTAATGTTAATAGTGATAGTAATAGCACTAACATACCAGCAAAACATTTAGATAATACTTACTATGTGCCAGGCATTATTCCAAACACATAAAAGTCCTTATTGATTTTGTTAGAAATATGTATCAATTACAAAGCTTTATATTGTTAAAACTACACTAGAGGCTGGGCACAGTGGCTCAAGCCTGAGAGGTGGGCAAATCACACGAGGCCAGGAGTTCAACAGCAGCCTGGGCAACATGGTGAAACCTCATTTCTACTAAAAAAAAAAAAAAAATTAGCTGGGCATGATGGTACATGCCTGTAGTTCAAGCTACTTGGGAGGCTGAGGCAGGAGAATTGCATGAACCTGGGAGGCAGAGGTTGCAGTAAGCTGAGATCATGCTACTGCATTCCAGCCTGAGCAACAGAGCAAGACTCTGTCCCCCCACACAAAAAAACCAAAACCAAACTAGACCACTTACCTAAAGCTCTACTAAATACAGTGTTATACAGTTACAGTAAAGTAAGTCATATGCTTTCCATTTAAATCTCTTCTTGGTTACCAATCCCTCTCTCACCACTCTAAGGGAACTGAACATTATGGAGACCAAGCATGCTGAATTTGAGGTAGAAAACAGGGTTAAATGAGACCAGTGTGTGAAATCACACATATGTGAAAGTAGCTGAATGTTTTTCATGACAAAGTTGGTAAAAGGTCTGGTTGAGGTGCCTAATCCTAGGTCAAATATAAAGAAGCCTGTCAACTGCTTCTTTATAAAATGGCAGGGTATGTGCCAGGCACAGTGGCTCATGCCGGTAATTCCAGCACTTTGGGAGGCCAAGGTGAGTGGATCACAAGGTCAGGAGTTCAAGACCAGCCAGGCCAACACAGTGAAATCCCACCTCTACTAAAACTTCAAAAAAAACAAAAACAAAAACAAAACAATTAGCTGGGCTTGGTAGCAGGCGCCTGTAATCCCAACTACTTGGGAAGCTGAGGTAGCAGAATCTCTTGAACCCAGGAGGTAGAGGTTGCAGCAAGACAAGATCGCGCCATTGAACTCCAGCCTGGGCAACAGTGAGAGACTCCATCTTAAAAAAAAAAAAGGTGGGCACGGTAAAGTAAGTTAGGTAGAACACAACTAAAAAGGCCTTGACCAGAGAACCCTATTTTCTTTCTCTATCATGACTGAAAGATAAAATTTTTCCTAGTAGATCAACACCTATTGCCACTGACTTCATCTTTGGTAAGTTTTTCCTTTTATGGGGACTCTAGATAACAAAGAGCAAATGGTTCCTTATTAGGAAACAACTGGTTTCTATTTGAGAAGAGGAACAAAAAATTTCAGAGAAAATGTTAGGAACTAATCACATTAGCCACCATGGTCATCCAACAAATAAAAAGAGAAAATGACTTTTTAACCAGTTATAATCATTTTAGTCCACATTTGCTGGTTTTTTAAAGAGTAAGTCTATTTTTCCAGTGTGTCATTCGTTATACCTCAGGGACATTTTTGCCTCTGATAATCCCAGCACTTTGGGTGACCAAGGTGATCACATCACGAGGTGAGGAGTGTGAGACCAGCCTGGCCAACATGGTGAAAACCCATCTCTACTAAAAATATAAAAATTACCCAGGTGTGCCAGGTGTGGTGTTGCACACCTGTAATCCTAGCTACTCAGGAGGCTGAGGCAGGAGAACTATTTGAACCCAGGAGGCAAAGGTTGCAGTAAGCCGAGATCAAGATCGTGCCACTGCACTCCAGCCTGGGTGACAAAGCTAGACTCCATCCGAAACAAACAAACAAAATTCTCAGCACAAATACGTTCTTAGACCTCCCCCAAAACAACAACCAAAAAAACATAAATAAATAAATGTCTGCAGACATTGCCATAATAATGATGCCTGTCTTCCTAGTATTTTCCTAGCTAAATGCCCTCTCATGACAATATTTAAACTATTAGGTTAGTATAACCAAAGTTCAAATGAAGGAATTAAAATTGCTTCATTGAGGATCCATGAATGGAAAAAACATATGTAACATTTATAATACAGTTTCTAAATAATCAAAACAAGGAAATATTTTGCAGACTGAAACAGAATGAAAGGGCTAGTAAACAGACTATATACAATTCTGAAATACGTGTTTAAGTATGAACCTACCCTGGTAAACACCCACAAAAAACAACCTATAAACAAAATATTATTTATCAATTTTTACACTGATACATATTTGAGAATGGTAGATATTATATAACAGAAAAGTAGTGATTTATTAATTATCATCGAAATACACATTTAGATTAGAAAATGAATCTAATTAGATCGCATTCATAAAGGCTATAAAAGAGATTAGCCTACTCATAGCAGAGTACCCCATTCTCTGGTTTCATGTACCAAAAGTGTTGCTTAAAAAATATGAGGCTTCGTGACTTCAAAGTTCATTCATAAGCAATATTTCAACAAACAATATAAATAATTTCCTGATACTTAAAACTCTTTGGGTAGTTCCTTAGCTAAAACAGAAAAATCTGTGCAAACAGCTTCTGCGATCAATTGATAAGACAAAATCCATTGTAAAATAAGCTAGATTAAAAACACAGTATATAGAAGCAGTTTTACAAGACAGTCTTCTAAATAGCTAAAAGAACTTCTATCAAACATAGAAAACTTACCAGGCAAATTCAAGCTCAATTTGTAATTTGTTTCCTAAGAACATATTGGTATTAAAAAAAGTTTCACAGTGATATAATCTAGTGTTCATTTTTAATAAGCAGAAATGATTCTAAAAAGTTTACAGCAAAATCTAAGACCATTAAAACATAAGCAGGACATGGTGGCTCACACCTGCAATCCTAGAGCTTTGGGAGGCCAAGGTAGGAAGATCACTTGAGCTCAGGAATTTGAGTACAGCCTAGGCAACATAGTAAGACATCACCTCTACAAAAAATTTTTAAAAATTAGCCAGATGTAGTGATGTTTGCCTATAGCTCTAGCTACTCAGGAAGGTGAGACGGGAAGATTGCTTGAGCCCAGGAGTTCGAAGCTGCTGTGTGCCAGCTGTGTGCTGTGTGCTGTGATCATGCCACTGCACTCCAGCCTGGGCAACAGAGCAAGACCTTGTCTCAAAACAAAACAAACATGCTGTCAAAATAAAGTCATTAAGAGGGGGAAAAGAAAAAAATAAATAAATAAAATATAAAACAAAACAAATGAAAAAACACCAATGGACTTACTTGTCAATATCAGGGATTAAATCAAAATGGAAGGTATGTATGTTCTAAACATTGAGTACTCATGGACATAATCATGGCAAAAATAGATACGTCGGCGTACTAGAAAGCAGAGGGAGGAACTCAAAGGTTGAAAAACTGTTAGGTACTATGATCACTACCTGGATGACAGGATCAATTGCACCCCAAACCTCAACATCACACAATATATCCATGTAACAAACCTGTACATATAGCCCCTGAATCTACACTAAAAGTTTAACTAAAAAAAAATACAATAATATTTGTTTCAATGCCTCCAAATTATGGTTGCATTAAAAAATCATTAGTAAGTTTATGCTTTAACACATACCAAGAAGTGGTGACATATTCTGAAATATACGAAGCAACTCCGGTGTAACACATGGGCTGTTTTCCAATGTTACTAACCTAAGAAGGAAAAACAGGTGATTAAATCCCTTTCCATGCCCATGTAAAGCCATTAACATAATGACTTAAATATTAAAAAGGTCCCATTTAAATGAAGAAAGATAAATGGATAATCAGTAAGTGATAGAAATTATCTAAGAAAGAATTAACCAAATACCTTAAAATAAAAACCTGTCTACAGATTATGCAGTATTTCTATATAAATAGTAGCAAAGGTAGTGGAAAGTAACTACAGTTGAGCCTTGCACAGCATGGCTTTAAACTGCGTGGGTCTACTTATACCCAGACTTTTTCAACCAAATGTAAGATTAAACAGTATTCACGGGGTGCAAACCCCAATATATGGAGAGCTGACTTTTCACATACACATGTACACAGGTTCCACAGGACTGACTGCGGGACTTTAGTATGCATGGATTTTGGTATATGTGGTAGTTCTGGAACCAATCCCCTGTTGATAGAAAGACATGACTGTATATACTAAAGTATCTATAATAATGAAATTATAACAATAAATCAAAAGTATAACTATTACGAATTGGTCAAGGACATAAAAACGTTATTTTGCTTGTTCTGATTTTCTTGGTATGTTCCTCTGCCACATGTAATTGATATGTCCTTTAAAGAGAAACTAGGCTAATAAATTAGTAAAACAAATTATGCTAAATGCTGAATAAATATGAACTTAGTACAACAAAGGCCAATTACAAGCCAATCTGACTGCATTAGCAGTATGCAACAATCCATAATATAATACATATACATGAAAGGTTTAATAAAACAAAGGCCAATTACAAACCAATCTGACCACAATCCATGATATAATGCATATCCATGGTGGGTTATCACAGAAGTCTGTGATTGGCCCAACCCTCAAAACAAGGAGAAAAACCATGATTGTCAAAACAGCAGCCAGAAAAGGAGGGAAAAGCCTATTCAAAATCTAATATTGGCTTTAAAAACTAAAAACTGAGGAATAACCTGATGATGCTAATCAAAACTGTAAAGAAACCCCGGCCCCCACCATTGGTCTATTTCCAGTTCCTTTTATTAATGAATTGTTCAAACGTACAAAGAATAGATTGCTACATATCACAAAAATCATTCAAGTACAATAAAAACAATTTTAAAATTGTTAAACAAATATAGCACTGATATAAAATCAAAAAGAGTCACAAAATGTAGATCATAGATCCAACTCATTAACAGAGGAAGAAATAAAATTAGATAAAATATTAGAAAAATGTTTAATATACATTAGTAGTGTAATTCACCACCAAGTAAAGTTTATCCTAGGAAGTCAAGGTTCTTTTAAGAGAAGCGCTTTTTTTTTTTTTCTAAAGAGAAAGATACGCTCTTTTGAGTAGATGGCAAAAAGCAATCAAATTTGTTTTTTTTTTCAATGATCATACTGCTTTTAATGAGATATAGCTGATACTGCTGACTGCTTACCAGTATTCATTACTATCCCATCCAATTTTCTTAAAAATAAAAAACTGTTTATACAAGGTCTTTTGTTCTAATTCTGGTTAAAAATAATTTATTATATTAAATGTTATATTAAGATAGAAGGCTAAAAGTTGACGAACTAATTTTGTTAGAATGGAAATCAAATGACAACAAACCCATAAACCTAAAGCAAGTAGAATGAGATAATAAAACATAAGAGCAGATATAAATAGGAAACAAATATGCAACAAAAAGAACCAAAGCCAAAGGTTGTTTTTGAAAAGACTAGTAACTGACAAATCTCTAGGGAGATGGATCAACAGGAAAATAAAAAGCCATGGTGGGAGATAAATCACATCATCAGTCTAAGAGTTTCACTCTATATTCATGACCCCAAACATCAACTGGTACTGGTTTTATCCCTAATAAATTCAAATTCCCATTCTTTAACATAACTGCTTTATACCTTCTCTCACCTACAGACCTCTATCTAGTATACACTCCTAATTCAGCCCATTACTCCTCGCTAAAGGTGATGCTTCATATTTTGTTAAGAAAACAGAAGCTGTTGGATGAACACCTTCCTATCTCATCCCATTATCAAATTTGAAAAACCGCCTTGGGCCTCCAGTTAAAAAGGATGAAGTATTCCAGCTGTCACCAAAATTTAATCCCTCCACTTAAGCTCTCAATCCCACCCCTTTTTGCCTCCTTCACTTATCCCACTCTCTCAATCCAGCCTTACCCATTCCTCTAGATCTTACATTTCCCATACTACTCAGCTGTTGCCCCGTTTATATACTCCTCTTAATAGTAAAGGAGTTACTATTGTTATCAGTGTGCATACTCTGTATGGACTTAGCTTCAATTCATTCTTCAGACTACTCCAATTCTAATTTCTGTTCTTACCACTCCAGTGTAAACCCTCCTAACATCTTCATGTGGCCAAATTCACATTTCTATACTAATCTTACAAGCAAAATCAGCAACATTTGACAAAGTTGACCACTCTCCCCCTTTTTAGGAAATATTCTCCTCTCTTGGCTTGGTTTTCCATAAAGTATATAGCTCTTCTCTGTCTTTGTAAATGGCTCTTCATGTCCTCAAAATGTTACAAGTGCATTAGAATTCCGCCCTGGGCAGAATGCTCTCTATCTGTCCTTCTCTTCCTAGGCAATCATATATTCTCAGGCATTGAATGCCATATCCAAAGTGTCAACCACTTCAGCAAACATTATCTCATCTTCACAACAACCATGTAAGGATAAAAATTATTCTTCATTTTACAGATAAGGAAATTGTGGTTCACCAAGGATGATTAACTTTTTCAAATTACATATATAATGCAGTAGTATAAATGGGATTGGAGCCCATGTTTGCCTGATTTCAAATATAAATTCTAACCCATTAAGAAAAATTCATGAATATGTACTCTTGAATCTTTAGAGAAACTCAACAAATAAGGTAATTTTTAAAAATTGTCCTAATAATTTATTTTCATTAGCATGTAAATAAAGGCTAGGAAAAAAATTACCATTAACAAAGCAGTACATTTTTATTACTTTTTAATGTAATCCCTTGAAAATATATATATATCTTTAATAAACACATTAATATATTGTTGGTAATACTAGTAAATCTGAGTCTAATCTCTTTAGCATATTTAGATTGTTTTCTAACATTCACCATCATATAGTATCTGCATGCTTACAAAAAATTATTTATATGCCAGGAATTAATATTTTACCTTATACTCTAGAGCAGAGGTGGGCAAACTACAGCTCATGGGCTAAATCCACCCAGGTACTTAGTTCTATAAATGATGCTTAATTGGCACATAGCCATACCTACTTGTTAATATATTTATTGTCTGTGATTGTTTTGACACTGACAGCAGAGTTGAATAGTTGCAACAAAGACTGTGTGACTTAGAAACCCTAAAATATTTAATGTCTGGTTCTTTACAGTACAAGTTTGCCAACCTCTGATCTAAAGTAATCTATCCTTATACAAATAGATATGTTTGAAGATAAAATATTTCAACAGGCTAATTTACAAATGAACCATATAGATGTCATTTAAGTTTGAACAACACCTTTCTGAGGAACATAAACCGCAAATTAATAAGTATCCACCTAGTTAAGTTTTAAAGTCATTCATATCCTGATAGAGATCATTATTTACAATTTGCACCAAAGGTAATTTCCAAGAACCAAAACTGTTAAATTCTAGACATCTAGAAAAAACAAGGGAAGGAAGGAAGGAAGTTCCAAAGAAAGAGAGGGAAGGAAGAAGAGAAAAAAATGTTCATTTATTTTATGGTTGATTTCTATGATTTGCTTTCTTTAACTGCACTATCAATTTATATAATGGGATTTTGAAACTTTTCATGTATTACTGAAAGACCGTCTCTGGATAAAACTGTTGTCAACAGCAAAGCGAGCTTAATAAAGCAAAAGAATTTTCTAGCACAGTTGCTTACACACCGTGGGCAGTCAATAACCCTCTGCAGCCCTGAGCTGCCACAGAAGCATGGTATTTTTTTTAAAACCTCTTAATACTGCATACTATTAATTTACTCAGTAAAACAATAAGTAAGACTATAAGCAGTTTTGCCATTTGGGGCAGAGGTATATCTCAATGCTTGGTTAAGTAGTAAGAGGACCTCAATATCCCCCCAAAATCTCATTTAACAGATTAGAGATTGTAAGTCAGTAACTTTTTGGAAAAGTTACCATGAACCCATTTTACATGACAAATTTCAAAAGATGAAATGCAGCTGAGTTCCTGTTGAAAAGTCCCCCTTTAATTGTAATCCTACACTGAGTGACAGCTGCCCAAAAAAAAGGAGATACATGCCCAGTTTGAAGAAACAGAGTTTACATTTTTGTTTTCAAAGCCTTATTACATGACCTTAACTTTATTGGCATGAGAGTAGGAAAGGTCACGAATAAAATAAGATCCATGGTGTTAAGTTTTTCCTCTTACCATAATTCTAAACCATCTTCCAGAAGATAAACATGTGGAGGCTGAGAAACATCTGTACTCAGTTGAATAACTGGGAGCAGGAAAGGGTACAGGTTCTTGCTGTCTGCTCCTAATCCCTATGGGAAGTATAAATAAAACTTATAAGACACTCTAATGTCCCATCCCCCATCAAAAAAATTACCTATCATATAAAAAATCCTCAAACCAATTTATTAAAAAAATGAATCATATTTTTAGAAAGGCCCTAATTACAAGCAATAGTAAAACAAAGTTAGTTCTGTTTATAATTGGAAAGCAAAAATCAAAAAATACTATTCAATTGCCTATTGGCAGTAAAAAATACATATGCCAAGGCTACACATATTTGTTCATTTTAAGAGACTGCACATATAAGAAATATCTATTTTCCTCTCCCTGTCACTTCAGATGACATTTTAACATTGGTATTTTAAATTCTATAGATGCTCTCACCTAAATAATTAATCTAAAATGAACCCACCCTAATGTTCATCAGTAAAACAATTAAATTATGAAACTTCCATATTCTAAAACACTGAGAAGCCATTAAAAAAGATTTGGGGGATGAATGACCCCAAATGTTCATCAGTAAAATAATTAAATTATGAAATTTCCATATTCTGGAATACTGAGAAACCATTAAAAAGGATCTGGGGGCTGAACGCTGTGGCTCACACCTGTCATCCCAACTCTCTGGAGGCCAAGACAGGAGGACTGCTTGAGGCCAAGAGCTGGAGAACAGCCTGAGCAACATGGGAAGACTCTATTCTTGAAAAACATTTAAAAGTTAGCCAAGGCCAGGCATGGTGGCTCACACCTGTACCCCCAGCACTTTGGGAGGCTGATGTGGGTGGATCACCTGTGGTCAGGAGTTCGAAACCAGCCTGGCCAAGCCAACATGGTAAAACCCTGTCTCTACTAGAAATACAAAATTAGCCAGGCGTAGTGGCACATGCCTGTAATCCCAACTACTTGGGAGACAGAAGCAGAAGAATTGCTTGAACCTGGGAGGCAGAGGTTGCAGTGATCTGAGATCGCACCACTGCATTCCAGCCTGGGCACCAAGAGTGAAACTCCGTCTCAAACAAACAAACAAAAGTTAGCCAAGCATGGTAGCACCTGCCTGTAATCCCAGCTACTCAGGAGACTGAGGCAGGAGGATTGCTTGTGCCCTGGAGTTCAAGGCTGCAGTCTGTGAGCTATGATCCCACCACTGTACTCCAACCTACATGACAGAGCGAAAATCTGTCGACTCCCCCAACAAAAAAGGATGGGGGGATTTGACATAGAATTTTAAAATTTCAAACAAATACTTTTTAAAAGATGCACAAGTGTGTATAACAATTCCACATGTCAAACAATTTTTTTAAATATCTAGATATCTGTATATGGTGTACACAAAATGTTTCTGGAAGCAAACAGAAAAAACTCTTAATGCTTCTTAGATATAGGAAAGGAAAAAGGATGATATTGGGATGAGGGCAAAGGAGTCCTTTGTTTTTACTTTTTAAAGAAAAGTAAAACATATTTAAGAATTTTTGTTAATATTTTTCATGAGTCAAGAACACAAAGATGTAAGAAGAAGAGAAGTTTTTATCTAAGATTCTAGTTTGCTGAATTACTGTCTTAGAGAAGTTGATTCAATGTACTACACAGTAAGTACTCTGGAAGAAAACAAAAGGGGTAAAAAGTCAATCTGTAAAACATAATAATATCTATGATTTGATGAATACAAAAAGGAAACCAAATTACCAAATACCTCCTCACTTAAGAAGTAATTCAAATGTCAATGTAATTCAAAGCATTACAATGCCACACAGAATATGTGTATTCCCCTTTTGATGACATATACTACTAAGTTTAATTTCTGGGGTTGTATTTGCAATTCTCTAGTGTACAATATGTTATTTTTTTAACTATACACATTGCACAATATATTAAATCTCCATAACTTATGTTAAATATAATTTTGGCCCTTTTTATAACAAAAAACCACTTGAAAGACCTTATTAAGGAGTTTTCTAAAGGAAGAGAATTATAAAAATGCCATTATTTAATAGAGTAGTACATTGGGTCTTAAAACTCACTTCAATTTCACTCTCCATAGCTCAATCTTTCATGAAACAAAAAAGAGAGAATATTAAGAAAAAACAGTCAAGTTAATTTTGGTTATGAAGTAGGCTTAAAATTCCCTTGGAAAATATATCTGCTTAAGTGTTTATTCCAATATTCAAAATATGCTAGCATTAGCTAAACTAAAGTAAGTAACTGCTAAAGACACACACTCCCTTAATCAATGATTGAAGAGATTCAATACCTTGTAATTCTAGTAGCTAAAAAAATGTGTCCAACCCCTTGTATGCAGCTTTATGTAAACACCTTTTGGGCCCACAGTAACTACAAGACATTGCTTACAATACTATAAAAGTTCAAAAATAAATTCATCAATTATTAAAATAAGAAAACTACTAGAATAATTAGGAGAGGAAAATTAATATTCTACTATAATTACAGAAGTTGTAAGGAGAAACTGAGTGAAGGATACATGGTATCTCTATATACCATCTTTGAAATTTCCTGTGAATCTATAATTACTTCCACAAAAGAAAAGTTAAGGAAAAAAAAAATCACCCTCTAAATACTGATCTTTCTCAGGCTACTACTATCCTTGGCTCACCTCCCATGTCCCATAAACACACTGATGATATACAAATCTATCATCTCTGCAACAACTGTCTGAACTCCAGACGATCAAGTAACTACAGTACATCATCTGCCAGAGGTATCTCAACCTCTAATACTGAGCCAACTCATTGTCTTCTCAACATACAGGTGCTCTTCCTGTATTTTCTAACTCAAGTGACATGAATCACTCTCTACCTAGTGATAAGTTATTATTATAACTACCTCCTGGTTCTTCTTCAGTTCTATTTCCTTAATATTTTTCAAATCTTTCCCCTTCTCTCCATAACTCAGGTCCTCATCATCTTTTTTCTGATTAACAGTCTCCTAGTTAGTCTACTTGACCTTTGGAAGTTTTACCACTTGCAAGCCAGTGTCCTCAGTGGTGCCCTATTTTCCTAAAATAAAAATAAATTATCATGTTTCTTTCTCTGACCTTCAAGAGATGTTCCCTTAGCCTTCCTGACCAGTTCCCCTTACATAAGCTCTGTACTCTATGTTCCTGCTCTACCAAATAAATGCACAGTATTAGAAATCACTGTATTAACATCTGGAGAAGGCTGACAGATGAACGATTTCAACACATGCATTTACTACTGTTGTTTCCTAAAGCCAACTAAAAGGATACAGGAGGAATTTTTTTTTTAAGAACTAAAACGAGAAATACAAAGACAGCATAAGAAGAGATAAAGTAATTCACTTTGGAAGCTAGAAAGAAAGATAAATGCTAAATGATTTAGCCAACTAAGAAAGCTAAGCTAAAATCCAGCAGGGGGACAGGTAAAGACAAACTACCTGACTTATACTACAGAAAAAAGACTGAGAAACTAAAAGTAATTCACTTTGGAAGCTGGAAAGAAAGACAAATGCTAAATGATTTAGCCAACTAAGAAACCTAAGCTAAAATCCAGCAGGGGGACAGGTAAAGACAAACTACCTGACTTACACTACAGAAAAAAGACTGAGAAACTAATGGCACCAGGTATTTTGAGGTGTGTGTGTGTGTGTGTGTGTGTGTACGTGTACGAGCATGTGCGTGCATGCATGCATGCATGCATGCATTTGGGGGACAGAGATTTGAGGACAGTGAAAAGGAAGTAATAACAAGAGGACTTCTACAAAACGTTTAGAAAGCAGTTTGATGCCAAGATCTCATCTAGATACATAAGCAGACAAATAACCGGCCTTCTTCCGAACCAGCATAAAGCCAGCTATTTATCTTCTGCTAAGACAAAACAGATGGTTTCAAGACAGGGAGATACCAGGTAATCAAGAACAGGGATATGACATAAAACAGGAAGATTACATCAGCATCTAACAGCCAAGAGACTGAGGGATCTTTCACTGAGGAAAGACCTTAAAAAATTAACATGAAAACATTCTCCTACAAAACCCAGCCAGATCATCCTAAAAGAAAAACACACAATCATGGCTGGGCAATGTGGCTCATAGTTGTAATCCCAGCACTTTGGGAGGTCAAGACAGGCAGATCACCTGAGGTCAGGAGTTCAAGACAAGCCTGGCCAACATGGTGAAACTGTCTCCACTAAAAATACAAAAATTTTCCGGGCATAGTGGCACACACCTGTAGACCCAGCTACAAGGGAGGCTGAAGCAGGAGGATCACTTGAACTCTGGAGGCAGAGGTTGCAGTGAGCTGAGATTGTGCCACTGCACTCCATCCTGGACAAAAGAGTGAGACCCTGTCTCAATAAAAAGAATAAAAAAACACACAATCGGAGAACGATCCAAGATGGCCGATCGCTAACATCCCGGGATTGCAGCTCTCAGGGAAGGCGCGGAGAACTAGAGGACGCCACACTTTCAGACAAAGTCTGGTCGCTCACGGAGCAGAAGATCCCCCAGTGGTGGAAACACACGAGTCGCCAGCGCGACTCTCGTGGTCGGTGCAGCGATTCCGCCGGCACCTCGACGCGGCAGCTCTCGGCACAGAGTAAACGGGACGGGTTCCCCTTCTGACCGAGGTTTGGAGCCCCGGGAAGGCAGTGTCGCCTACTACGGACACAAGAAGGAAGCCCGACAGGAGAATCCTGGGCAGAAAAGCACCATCAGTTTTAACGCCGCTGCTCTGGCCCTGGGAACTAACAACCTGGACGTCCACTCAAGAGACCTAATCTGAAAGTTGGTAACATCAAAGACGACAGGAGGATAAATTTACAATGACGGGAAGAAACCAGCGTAAAAAAGCTGAGAATACTCAAAGTCAGAACGCTTCTCCCTCTAAAGATGATCACAGTTCCACATCAACAATGGAACAAGGCTTGATGGAGAACGAGCGCATCCTGATGACAGAATCACTCTTCAAGGAATGGATAATAACAAACTTCGGTGAGTTAAAAGAACATGTTGTAGCCCAACGTAAAGAAACTAGGAACTTTGAAAAAAGGTTTGATGA